GCCTTTTGGGGAGGGGGAAGGGCGAGGGAACTCCGATGGTATGATGTTGACTGACGTCTGCCGTCTACTTGTAGAGTAGCTTACTTATTTCTTTCAACAACTTTTACCTTCTTGATTCCTTTAATACGAAATAGTTAACAATGTTATTTTTTAATATAGACAGCAAATAAGGCTGATCTAAAAGAAACCCGCTATATCTCGATTCAGAGTGTCATAAAACCTACTAGAACGAAATTTAGGGTTACTTTCATTAAAAAATTGTCCCTGTTCAGTGTGGACGGTGTCCAATTCTATGGAGTGCAAACTTAAACCTCTTCGACTTCCTTCCTCATGCAACCAAAAAAGAAGCGCCGTTTAGACTTAAACTCTAAATGATGTTACACTCTCGGAACTTTTGGTTTACTATCAACCCAAAGAGCATTTCAAAATTTTAGAGAACCTCAGAAAAGGCCCCGGCCCAAATTTTTACAGGGAAATGGGATGAATGGATATTTTTCATCAGGGTTGTCAGGTAGATCCAGTTATTTATTTATATAACCTTGACATTTTGTTGTTTTTAATAGATGACAAGTTATAAATGGTGTTGATTTCATTGTCTAAGAGGTCACAAAAGAGAATTCATTTATTGCCCCTCAACTTTGTATTGCTAGAAGAGCTGCCTTCATGCAGCATTTACAATCCATTATATTTGATAAAGGGGGTGTGCGATAGACTTACCTCCACGTGGTGCACCCTGGGCAACGTATACTCACACGGCAAAAGTCTATTAACCGACGGTTGACTTCTGACTTCAAAATGCCACGACCTCACTGTATATCATGTTCGACCCCTTCACAGTGCTCATCTTACCTTTTTTCCACTTTTGTGTCTGTCTCTTTTATGTCTTTCAAACACTCTCCAGTTCCCCCTCCTCTCGAATTTTTCTCATTTTGATGTTCCTTCCCCACTGTGAAGCCTGAAGTCAACTAAAGGGCTAATGATAACTATCAAAACGCCTGCCATTTGATATAACTAAATTAATAAATAATAGTTGAGAAAGGTTTAAGAGTTTAATTCATTGACACTAATATTAGTATTGTAGGTCAACAAGCTGTGAACTATTTGTTTATTTGGAAATATTCTCTCTTCTACATATATATATACGAATAATTGTAGTCTTAATTCTGAGAACAGAACCTCATAAAGAAATATGCATTGTAATAATGGCGACCAAAGATAAGTGCAAATAACTTAGAAGGGTACTTCAATCCAATCCTTTAAAGCCATGGTACGGATAATGAATCGAAATATTTAAGACAATTCAGTTAAGGTTGAAAAAATCAAAATGTCATTTTTGTCCAATTTTACAAGTATCATCCACACTATCTACATATTTATGGTGCTTAATGTCATATTTAATTGACAAGTATTTGAAAAGTAGTCATAATTACCAGAAGTAAAAAATTCAATTTTATAATAATAAATACGTTTGAATTTAGTATTTTTAAAATGTATTACTAAATATGGTAAAACACTGCGTGACCTTTTATTGTCAAACTAGCCCATTCTTTGACATTCCCATTGCGTAAAAATGCTTAGCGCATTCACTGGTAGGATTTCGGGGAGTGCGCATCCATGCTTGCTTCAAACAGCACTTCGATGTTACAGAAATCGAAATCCTAGGTATTTACTTTTATATCAATTATTTTTTCAGAAATTTTGAGTTAATGGGTATTGCTGATAAAACGGAAGGGTGGGAGTTTCAGGCTCCAAGGAAAGACTTTTGGCATAAGTAAGTCCTAAGTATGCATGTATTTTACCACTTTAGAGTTATTCTTGAACGTGGGAAGCATCATACCGTCGGAAAAGTAATTCACAAAACACTCGGTGTTGTTATTCATGCATCTACGCAGGAAAATGCAATTAACGAGAGACTCTACAGTACTGTGGATGTATCTGCTGCAGAAAATATAGGTCGAATCCTCG